CGCTATACCACATAAAATTCAGACTGGAACCATATTCACCCCACGGCGAATTCCTATCAGCTAAAGTACAACTCAACGCCTTCTTCAAAACGCACATGTCATCAAGTAGTGGGTTTTGGTAGGCGAGTTTTTCGTCTGAGCGATGTCTTTTATACGTCTAGTGATCGTCTTTGAGACGTTTTTTTCTGTCGCTTGCAGTAGACTCTAGTATTCTCTTTCTATCAACCACCTTGTAGCTTAGATGAAATGAAATCCATGGTGATCAAGTTAGCAAGGGTTAGCGATAGCTGGATAGTCATGCCAAGCATGATTTAATAATTCTGGAAGTTATTGCAGTAACGATTCCATAACATGAATTGTAATTTGTCGCAGACTTATGAAATTAGTAGCGAGTTATGATAATCTGAATGGAAACGTCATATCGCAACTTTCTAAAGGGAACAACGATCAATATCGAAACATAGTGCGTCCAACTACTGTGTTCGAATTTGAATATTATGAGCCGGTGAATTCGTTCGAACCAAGAGAAGTGGAATAGAAAACGGATTATATTATTCCGCATTCAGATAATCCTCCAATACTCACCAAAACCTATTCAAATCACAATGGAAGCCTGGTTCAACGAGGAGAACAAATCATACAATTTGATTTCAATACTACCTACTTGTTCTCGAAGTAGCTGCACCCATATTCGTTCTCTCATTGAACGAGAATTATCCTCCTCGGATCCCAGGTATCATATTATGTGATACCACGGTTGAAATTTTTTTCCATTGTCTAGCGCGTGATATCATTTTACTGCCCGCTGGTATCGCATCTGATATGGGTCAACCAATGCGCAAAAATTTGTACGATCGCACTTCACTCGACTGGAGCGAGTTGTTTGATTTTTTGTGATCATCTGTTCTGACCTCATTGCCGACAAGAGTGAAATTTGACAGTTCGATGAATAGTTGAAGAACATTTGTGCATACATTGTAGGATATAATTAGTCAGCTATTTATCATTTCACATTCCTAACTCGTTTGGTATCATTTATGATACCAAGGGACTCAAACTATAGCTACATCTGAAATATAATATTTTTTGTGAAATTCACGGATGCAGAATTTGAGGGAATCGCAAATAATTTTGACATAGATGAATCTTATTTGGATGCAAATTTGTTTGAATTCGACAACTATGGTTGGGACGAACTGGACAACCCTACGCATGTTCAAGTATTAGGAGCTAGTGATGATGAACTGGTGGGAGCTATTGATGATGAAATGGTGGTTGCTAGTGACTGCTAGTGGATTTGATTACGAGAGAGTAAAAGGAAAGGGAGGAGGAGAAATTTCGGCCCCCAACAAAAAAAATGTTTGCCATGTGTTGAAGATACGTCGGATCCCGAAAATATTTCCAGACCAATCACTAACTTCAACAAATACTTCACAATTTGTCAAAATTGCTAATGTTATGGGGGCTGGACACCAGGGTATACCAATAGTTTCAGACATATTGTCAAGAAATCGTTTTTTCACCCTCCGAACGCAGATCAAACTTGTGGACGATGATTCCGTATCAGAAGAAGCTGCCATTTCATTGTCTGGGTCTAGACCCAAGTTATCATTAGTGATAACAATATTTTTGGAAAATTGTTTCATCAAAAAAACTTTATTAATGGACATTATTGTTTTAAACCACCATGAGTCCCTATATTCCGTTAGGCAACAATAAATTCACAATAATTTTGTGTTGGGCCCGAGGAGGTCATTATTGTTTTATCAGAACTTGCATCTTTTCTATAGTAGAATCGGATAGATTCATATCTTGAATGATATGAGGAATGGAGATTAATGATAGTAGATAATAAAACAGGGTTATTAGGTACTGGCATCATCTGTCATATACCAAGATCTTTTTTTACAGTGTCGAAGTCAACTTCTGGCAAACCACTTCTGAAAGGCTATCCCCAACTTCGATTAGTCAAGTTACACCCTATATTTTTTTGTTATTTCTGAAGTGTTTTCATTCCTAATTTCAACGATGAATCACACTTGATATTTCCACAAACGTGATACTTTCCAAATTAGAAACTACGAAGGAAACAGTATGCTTCAATAAAGAATTCATTGTATATATTGTATATGTTTTTGTCTCCTACTGTTCTTCATTCGAGTTCAAGAAGAAAAATTATCAACAAGAATATGCATAAATTATGTGGCTTTGTTGTCAGCGAATACCACTCTTCCTGGTGGACTTGTTGTGTTGCTTGGCAACATAATTTGGTCAATAACGGAAGATTATGAGGAAATATTTGAAGCAAAGTGTTATTTTGCTAGACTATTGAACGAAACGAAAGAAACATTTATTATAAAAAATGAACAAGTCATGAATATATAACCAAAGCGATTTATTCTGGTATCTACAACCCTGATTATTTGATGTCGAAACGACAGACTTTGCTTCGCTATTCATGGTTGAATCGATGAAAACACCAACGATGATAGACCAATCAGAATTGAAGATAGCTAGTGTTTTCGCGATAATCTTGTGATTGGACAGATCATGAGAAAATTTTGAGGTGGGGGAAATTGTGAGATGTAGAAATGTTCTCTTGTTGTTCTTTTTTTGACAGTTATCCAGGGAATAGAAAATGAAGAATATTGATATGCTCCTTTTTCGAGGCACAATGGATGAAATATTGAAGCAGGAATAGAGTCTAATATCGACCAATAAACAGCTTGCAAATTAGGTTCAATACCATAGTCAGTTCTGTTTTTTTGTGTTTTATTTGAGTATTTTCGAGTATATAATTATACAGGGTGTTTCAAAAAAACCTAACCCCGGAAACGGAACTCAGTATCGAGTTTCACAAAGAGGTCCTTTTTGGTGTGAAATTGAATGATGTTCAAGTTCACATCAACTTCGGATTGAAAAATCTAACCTCAAAAAAGATAAAAACACAAATGCATGCGATGTGTCAGATTCCAAGAAACATCCATACAAAATTTCATCACAATGTTGCCAGTAGTTTCAACATAATCGTGAAAATTGTATAAAAAAAATATTGTTTCAACACCTTTTATCATGGAAACGGATGCCGTTACGACATTTTTTCACTGAGCAAACCCAACTTATTTTGCATTGTTCTACCTACCCTAGCAAGGAGGTTAGGTTTTTTTGGAACACCCTGTATATATTTGTGGAGCAAAACTCATTATCATCATGAGAAGTAATAGGTTACTGATCTTGTTATATTGAGTGTTCACTGTTCTGATTTGTTCTGATTGGTATTGGTATTGGTAGGTTGGATGGTGACAGATGCGCTGCGACCTAATTAGATCTATTGTGCCCCATCTGCTCCTGCTATATCAAGGGTTTCCTGTTCATAGCAGCCCCTCGAGATTCAATTCCTTTAGGAATTTGAGGATTTTGAGGGGGTCTAGCTGTGGTATTTCTTCCACAGTCAGCTGGTGTGTTCCCAGTATGTTCAATCTTTTGTGATGTACAGCGTCACACTCCATCAGTATGTGATGGGGTGTTTCTGGTTCTTCCTCACAGAGTCTACAGGTGCCGTCCTCCTGTAAGCCTAGCTTCCTCAGGTGTTCTTTGAGTCTGCAATGCCCCGTTAGAAATCCCGTTATTGCTTTGAGACTTCCTTTGCTGAGGTTTGTCAGTGTCTTAGATCTTTCTCGGTTGAAATTCCCAAGGAGATCTTTAGCCTGCCGTAGTCCTGGAAGTCTTCTCCATTGTCTGGCTCTCCAGGCTCCTTCCGCCTTCTCAAGTTCTCCTTGGAAATAGGAATTTCCAAGGCCGCAGAATGGCTCTGATCCGATCAGTGGCGTTGAAGCCCCTTGTCGTGCCAGAGCGTCTGCTTGTTCATTCCCCTCCACTCCGATGTGCCCTGGCACCCAGAGGAGGATAACTTTATTGTTGCTGCCTAGCTCATTCAATTTGCTTAGGCATTCCCATACCATCTTCGAGTTGATGTAGGGAGAGCTCAACGCTTTGATGGCTGCTTGGCTATCGGATAAAATCGCGATGTCCTTCTTTGTTCTGATTGGTCAAAAGGTTTTTCATTCTTCTTTTCTTGTTCCTTATTATTTCGAAATATGTCACGAACTTGAGTGTGATAGATCGGTGAAGTATGAATTGATTATACTTCATAAATCGACAAAATATGAATCAGGTGTAACTTGAATAATTGAAATTAGGGGTGGCTTTTTAGGGATAGTTTATAGTTTATTGATAGAAGTTGATTTTGTCACAATGGCTTCAGAGTCATACCAATTTTTTGGTTTTTTTCAAGGCGAAGGATATTTGAGATATTGGTTGAATGAAAATATCTGGGACACCCGTATACCAGGCAGTAATTAATAAGATAACCAGCACACCTGTAATGGATTGCTGATGGATAGGCTGAAGTAGTCGTCCTAATGATTTCTCTTTCTCTTGATTTTCATTTTGATCGAAATATTTCGGCATACACATCATAACCAACTAATATTCTTCAAAAACCATAATATACGACTGTGTAAGTATCTGAATTTTACATAGCGCGTAATGGAATAGTCATAATTAATTATTCTTTCGAAGTACCATATCCTGCCTAGCTGAAATTAACTCAAAAATAATTGATTCATCATGTAGATGATTACAACAAAATTATTCGAGTTATAATGATTCTAGTTGTACCTAGATGACCCACTGAATTGAGTCCGTTACATGATATAATTCAAGCTGTATAGTGTGAACTGCTTCTGTAATATTCATAACACGAGAAGTGTTCAAAGTTAGATTTCAGAAGACCTGAAAAAAATCCATAATGTAGTTGATTCATTTCAGAATTGGTGTATTCTCCTTCTTAGTAGGGGTCATATAATGTTTAGTGGAAGTGATTAATTGCCACAAGTCGAATCGCAGTCTGTATATCTTCTGTTGTTATCCTCGTGATATCATCAATGTATCATCATTTGGTGGCAGATCTCAGAAAAGACATACAGTTTCTTACTCACCTAAGATTTGGCTGAGTACGGTCCTTCCATCTTCTCCTAAACAGGCACTTCTTGCGTCAAAGGGGTTCGTGAATTGAACAAAAGCGTATCCTTTGTGCATTGATATCCCTGCAAAGAAATTAAATTTACAAATTCAATATACTGCAATTTGTGCGCATGAGTACTGTGTTAAAATCCAATTAGGAGCTGAGCATTTGTGTCAAAGGCATGTGACTTTAATAATTGGACCGACTGCTTGGTAATTCTGCATTGGCTTTATTGTGGTGATAAGCAACATCTATGAGAAGTGCCCGAGGCGAAACCTCTCCAGTTGAAGTGAAGTGTTTATTCAGATCATTTAGTTATTCGAAATATAATAGTGATAGAGAGATTTTGATGGGTGTTCAGTGTTCTGGCACTTCAACTCCACTATCTCTCAATCTCACGAGATCCTAGAAAATCATAATTCCTTGAAAGAAAATTGTTTTCGGTACGTTAGGAAATAGTCTGGAGGAGCAATTACTCGAAAACATTTATCCAAAGTTTGAACTGATTAGATATTGGAATATATAATCTGATGGATATAGCACTACACAAACTTGAAGGAGAGATGAACCATTCCTTAGATCATAAGGAAACTCTGCAGGCAGCTTTCCTAGACATAGAAGGAGCGTTCAATAATGCCCGAGATAATGCCCTACCACAGTCACTTTGAACGGCAATTCAAGGTAGAAGAATCGAAAGGTAAACTTGGAATTGCATTGAAATTGGAAATCGGTAAGTCATATCACCACTGCATGGAAAGTCGATCAGATTAAGAGCGGCGTCCGAGTTGACTCTCTGCTGAACGATTTCTCCATGTAGGGGGTGAACTTTCATTGTAATGCAGATGATTCAGTCCTAATAGTATATAAGAGGAAAATTTCAAACGAAGATCTCAAGCATCCTACAAGTTGCTCTTAATACCTCGAAAAACAGTAACTATCCCTGTTGCCAAAGTGAAAAAGCTAGATGACTTGCGTAAGTCTGTTTTATATGAAGAGAGCATTCCATTTGCGGCGGGAGTGAAATATTTACGTGTCACCCTATAGATGGGCGACTCACCTGGAACGCCCATATAGAAAAAACTATCAGCAAAGCTAGATTTTTTCTGGGAACTCAGAAGGGTATGAACCTAAACCAGATTTACTGGATTCACCGAACAATGGTGAAACAAATGGTTTCATATGGCTGGGTGGTCGGGTGAATGTCTGCAGTGGAAAGCTATAGCTGAGCTGACAGGTCCTCAACGGCTTGCATGGGGTGATACGAGTGGAATGGAAAATAACCAGGGGGCCATATTTGTACCCATGGTTATATGACCCTATTTATCTGTGGTTGAAATTTCCTATGTAATTTAGGAACACCAATAACTTCCAGGAAAAAACGCAATAACTATCTTTCCTTTCTGTCCTCCCTAGGTACGTATGATGTCCCTCGAATATAATATTATTTTTTGACAAAATAGGCGGGAATTCAGCCTAGGGCTATCGTTACAAATATGTTTATTTTCTTAAATTTCATTTTAATTCTTTGTCTTTGTATATTAATTCCAAATTTTTCGAATCATGAACGAACTTATTTTCATAGTTAAACATAGACACAGGTGACATTGACTTCAACGAACCTGGACTATTGACCTAATTTCCTTACTGTCACGTTTCCGAACATATTGACAACTATTTGAAAGGAAGCGGGCTCGGCAGTTCGAGTGCCAGTTCCAGTTGTAGTCCTGTTTTTTGTTTTTTAGTACGAGCATTGAGTATTGAGTCAGAAAAGTTTAAGTTCTATCAATTGTAAATATGAAAAGTTGCCACTGTGCCCGAATCATTGGAGTTCGAGCAGAACTGAAGATGCCCTTCCTCAGGCTCCCAGAAATATCAGTAAATTTGTACATTTTCATTGTTATTCATGGCCAAGAATAAATGTGTGAGAATGTTTCGTTTGAAAACCTTCCTCATATTATATGTACATATTATATCGAAGAGTTTCCAATATGGGATTAGTATGGACCTTCAAACAATTCGGCTTTGAATATTTTCTTCACTTTATTCTTCTATAAGTAGTGAGTGTTATAAAACTGAACAGTTTGATAGGCGAAGGATGTTTTTTTCTTAGTTCCAACGAAGTACCTATATATGATTTGATTCACTATAGAGGGCCGAAGGACCTTCACACTTTAATAATCAGCCTAAAGAGAGGGACACATTATATTTCCTCCGATTGAACATTGAGAGCCATTTTAGATCCCTTATTTTGTGACAAACATATAGTCGTATTTTCCAAATGAGAAAATGAAACGACAACAAAAGTTTTGAACCATCTGAACACGATTCTGGTCGAATTTGGTGAGTAAATCACCGTAGACACTATTACCATAATTGAACCTAGAGAGGACTAATGATTCACTGAGAAGCTAATAGGGATTCTTTTTCGTGTGCTCCGTAAGATTCAAGGAGGTACCATAATGAGCTATGATAGATATACGATCTAGCCTTTTTCATGCTATCTATTCTTTACTCACGGACGAGAAGTTTTGAAGAAATATTGTAAAACAATCTTTTTTATCTGCATGATAGATCGCTTCGGATTACAATGTTCCATTGAATTTTAACAAGGAAGATCCCGATATATCACTCCATAAATCAATTCAAATTGAGTTTCCATATTAAAGTACGCCGTAAATTCCTGCAGATATTCCGGCGACATACATAATAAAATGATTACAGGCGCGCATCCGAGAGGGGTAAAGGGGATAATTACTCTCCTACAGAAAGTGGGATGAGGGGTAGAAAAAATGAAAGTGGAATGAATTGTTATCAGAAGTGATAATATAAGTATTTGAAAATATTCGGGTTATATGGTTATACATCGATAACTTTTTGCATGAGTTTATCAGTTGAAATAATCCGACCGCAAAACGGGAGGATTATCCTATCAAACTGACACGATTTGTGATCTTGCAGGGAGTTTGAGATGCATGACCTTGAAGATTTTGAAGTTCGAATTGTATTCGATGCGATTATATTCTGAGTAGTTGTATGTTACAATATGAATAGGTTACTATGCAAATGGAGATAATTCAGAATTATTTCTGATTGTTGGAGGTATACCTTATGTATATTCACGTATTTTCTAAATTATACAAGGTAGTTCAGCTCAATTGAACGTTCTGATTGGTTTAAAATCATACGAAGAAAACAATCACGAGAATATCTCCTTTGGCCATATTAATGATATTCTTCCGTCTCAACCAACTGATATAATTCACTAGAACACGAATGAATCAGTAAAAATACCTACATTATTTCGAATTACGATCATTTTGACAACCTTACGCTTGGTTGTAAGTCCTAGTGAGCTGAAAGAACCAAGATTCTCTCCGATCACATTGTTCAGTTGACAAGTTCGAATAATTTATGATGGCGCTCAACTGCCACTCAAAAACTTCCAGCTATCATTCTCACATAAAGAAGTCATCTCTCATTTGAGCCCACCAAATTTCTTTGCGATATAGGTGGTTCAAGAATGAGTAGGAAAAGAACGGATCTAAGACGGGCACTGTATCTGATTATTAGACATTTCTGTGACGACATTATACATGTAACGTCTTGTAAGGCATGTCATATGTCAACTTCAGGATGTTTGCTTTCATTATTTCAGCACCTCCTGTTCTGTCATTTATCAAGCTCACTTCAACACGACAGTATGAATTCAGCCATGTTGACTGCTTAAGAAATATAACAAAATGTAATCGACAATTCATCTCAGTTTGAAAAACAAATTTGAATATGTTTGTACCGTGATAAGCGATAATGTTTACACTACCTAACAGCGCAATAGATATTATGGAGAATTTCTCGTCAACCTGGCGAGAAAATATATAAACTCACTTCCACTGATTTCAAATTTTAAATTCATCAACGGCTATTTCCCTTCAGAAGCAGAAAGCTGGGAACTCATTACCCACAGGTATGCACTGATGATGGCTTCATAGCCAAAATGAGGATTTGTACAAATATTTGTATATGCACGTGCAGACAGCTAAGCATAACCCTCACTTGAACAACCCTGAATCAACCTATCTTTTTCGCCAGAACTGAATCCTAGATGCGCTACTGAAATGATAACCTGATTTTCACCCTTATAAGCGCGTTCACACCCTTGTCTGCACATTGAATATTTATATTTCAATTCATATGTTGATATAGCTGCGACGGAGTAGGCCTGGCACATAAATACGATTCTCTTGTCCACCAATTAAAATCCCACTCTAATGTTTTGAATGATTTATGTGGCTACGTTTCATCGAGCTTTTTGTGTTACCGCCTTGAATTTTCTGTACAATTTTAATGACTCCATTGTTGAATATTGCAATGTAATTGAACAGCGGACCTCAAAACCGTTTTGGGTGAAGCCGATAAGGGTCTCTGTGGTTGGTGACAATTTATATTGTTTTAGAAAATTCTGAAAATAATGAATTCAACTGCAGCAGTCTTCAATATTCGATTACACTTTTGTTTAATCTGATACATTTATATACACACTAAGTTAAATCATATTTTAATCTAATTATATCACTAAACAGTAGACATTCCTATCGAGTGAAGCATTGCGTCAAAACAGAAATGTATGTACAGTTTGTTTCATCAAGAACTCAAATTTTGTTGAAATTCTGTCAAAATTGTGTACATGATTTCTCGAACATTTTTCATCTTTCTGAAACATTTTGTATCAGTATAATACGAAGGGTAGCTATGAAATTGTTACACAATTCAGTGTGGCCCTAGATTGACAAAAAGTTTTGTGGACCAAAGGACCTGGAGTTGAAATCAAGTCAAAAATTTTTACCGTGTAGGCTGTATGTGTATGTGTATGTATGAAACATGAGGTCAAGTAGGATTTGTAGGGCTATTGGGACAAAAAAAAACCTCAATGCTTGTGAGAAAGCTTTCGATAGTCCTTATCACCTCGTCAGTCTCTCTAAAATAAAATTCACAATTATATTCAAAGAAAATGGAGATTTGTATGTACCTACAGTAGATGAGACTGAAGAAAATAAAGCAAATCAGAAGTGCATGGAATTGTAT